TTAGTATCGTGTATAAACACATGCAAATGAAGAGTACCTATATTTTGCAAATAGTGTTATGCATTCAATCACTTCTCACCTTGATTGCGTTCATTGCTGGTGTACAATTATGACGACTGTTCAACGTAATATGTGTGTATTTATATACATGAGTGCAGTGAAGTGAGAACAGGAACGAATGAATTGGAGTAGATTAGCACGTGTCCATCGATTTGTTGGCAATAAACTGTCAGCTGTCACACAATATTATGGTCATGTGTTCCAATCGATTCCTACTGTGGTCGAAATAAGGAACTGTAGCTTCCGTAATAGGTGTCAAATTGGAGAAGTTGGTGTATTGGAAATTTCAGAAAACGGATTGATATTGATATTCTGTATTGTGCTTCGTCTATAAACGTGTCACTGATATTCAATAGCAAAATACATCATTCGAGTCACGTTTGATATTTGTAGTGAGTGTTCATGTGGTGAGTATGAGTCCACGTTGCAAAGTCACTGAATCGTTAGTCGGATGACGAGAATGTCATCCATCTGTGATAAGATGAGCCGCACATTTACATCGTAAATTAAATCAGATAATTTGTCACTTGCCGTTATAATGTCAGTTCACGATTTACGGATGTTGCTTCTCACGACTTAACATTCACGCGTTAATGTTTTCTCAAGTCACAATTTCGTGAAACGTCCTCTATTATCACTTTTCAATTCAGAAACTTGTATTCATATGAAAATTCCGACTTCACTGTAGAATGTCAAATATTTTCTCTACCTATGGAAGTGATGTGTGTTGAAATGTTGACGAAAATATCTCTACTGAATGTGATTTTGTTAACAGTCAGCCTCATTTATGGAAACGATCTGTTTCACTTACATCGATTTTCCATTCATTATTATTCACATAATGATGAATTGAAATATAGATAGTGAAGACTGAATAGTGAATTCTGAATTTGTATTGATGTGTTGTTATCATATGCGAGCACACTGCACTTTCTCAAATTTAATTGAGTGAACTGGAAGTATTCGAGACTATTTTGACATACTAAATCGTACCTCAATCTGATACAATAATAACATAAATTGAGAGAGACTAATTTCATGGTATGATGACTTGAATGATGTACTTCCCTAGTGAATATCAGTGACACGACAATAGTCGAAGCACAAAACATAATATAAATGTTATTCAGTATTTGACAAATTACCTGATCAATAATTATCGTGGACAGTCAGGATTCAGTGAGAACTATGTGTGGATGTGAGTTGAAACAGACATAGTTTGAAATTGAATACTACAGTTAGTGAACACAACGGTTGAACCACATGAAAACAACAAGAATTGCAAGCAGTGAAAAATTTTGCTTTCCAATACCAGTAGTTTGTTCTCATCTTGTTCACAGTTTACATACAAGTGTGGAGGAGACAGCGGTTGGATGAGTGGTCAGTGAATTGAATCAATGAAGAAATCTGATTAAGTCTGTACTTTGAAAGGCATCGGGTGCATTGATTTCCTAGACTTCAGTTATCTTGCTTGATTTAGGATGTCAATTTGTGGCTCATTTTATGGTAGATGGATGACGATTCAGTAACTTTGCAACGTAGATTTATAATCACCTCAATTTATTGGAGATTTCATTATTATATTTTGGTTGTATCGTTTTCTCGTGTGTAATGAGTGTTTTGGTTTCGTGAATCGTTTTCATCAAAATAGGTTACCATTGCATTTTGTGAATTCGTAGATTATTATGTTCGCCTTCATTTATGAAGATCATTAGCAATGTTGATGAATAAGTCGTCGACAAACCAACCAGTAGAAGCGATCGAAATTGAGAAAACGAAATCAGACCAGAGTGGGATCATACTGGAACTGATCGGTGCACTGCTTCAGATGTATGATGAAGGATTAATTTATGTGTAATTTGCTTTATTCGAATAATGAATGCATCGTCTTTCCATGAATTTGGTCTTCTTATTCAGAGGTTTTGATATTGAATATAGCTGAAATTTTTAAATGTTTCCTTTTATTATTTTCCTGAATCAATTCAGATTTCCCTTAAATGTAGTTGTCTGTTTCTCTCATTTTGTGTCAAGATTTTTTGATTATTATGTCTTTTTTGGTCTACTATGTGTTTTGATCTTTTGGCCGTTGATACTCTCTGCATATTTGCCTTTATTACTTCTTATGAATGTCACTACATCTTAATCTGTTTAAACTAATCTCTCTTATTTAACTACACTAAACACTTGTCTTTTAGCAAGTAATCAAATATTATACAGTATCATGTAAGTGATATGGATTTTAGAATTAGGTTACTTACTTACTTACTTACGACTAGTTACTCCTAATGGAGCATAGGCCGCCGACCAACATTCTCCAACCCACTCTGTCCTGGACCTTCTTTTCTAGTTCCATCCAATTCTTGTTCATTTTTCTCATGTCCATTTCCATTTCCCTGCGTAATGTGTTTTTTGGTCTTCCTCTTTCCCTTTGGCTTTGAGGATTCCATGTGAGGGCTTGTCTTGTGACGCAGTTCGGTGCTTTCCTCAATATGTGTCCTAACCACTTCCAGCGCTTCTTCCTGATTTCTTCCTCCGCTTGGATCTGGTTTGTTCTCTCCCACAGTAATTTGTTGCTAATAGTGTCCGGCCAACGGATCCGAAGTATTTTGCGTAGACAACTGTTAATAAACACCTGTATTTTCTGGATGATGGCTTTCGTAGTTCTCCAGGTTTCTGCCCCATACAGTAGAACTGTCTTGACATTTGTATTGAAAATCCTGACCTTGGTGTTGGTTGACAGTTGCTCTGAGTTCCAGATGTTCCTCAGTTGTAAATATGCTTCTCTTGCTTTGCCGAAAAAAAAAAAAAAATCTGCATCAGATCCACCGTGTTCATCAATGATGATTCCCAAATATGTAAAGGTCTTTATATCTTAAAAAAAAAAAAAATCAATTTTGATTGGATTGGTGCATTCTGTGTTGTATCGGAGAATCCAGCTTTTCCCTTTGTGTATATTGAGACCTACTGCTGCTGAGGCTGCTGCCACACTGTTCGTCTTCTCCTACATTTGTTGTTTCGTTTGGGATAAAAGGGTCAAATCATCTGCGAAGTCCAGATCGTCCAACTGCATCCTAGATGTTCATTGTATCCCGTGCTTCCCTTCAGATGTTGAAGTCTTCATGATCCAGTCGATCACCAAGAGAAAGAGAAAGGGTGAGAGTAAGCAACCTTGCCTGACACCGGTCTTTATTTCGAACGACTTTTTCAACTGCCCTCCATGCACGATTTTGCAGTGAAATCCATCAAAGGAATTCCGTATGATATTGACTATCTTCTGAGGTACGCTGGAGTGTCGAAGAAGTTTCCATAGTGTTGTTCTGTCCACGCTATCAAATGCTTTTTCTTAGTCAATGAAGTTGATTTAGAGTGATGAATTCCATTCAATTGATTGTTCCACAATGATCCGTAGAGTTACGATTTGGTCTGTACACGATCTATCCTTACGGAATCCTGCCTGTCGGTCACGAATTTGGTTTAGAATTACGTGCTTCACTTATAAATCATTTCAAATATTTTGCTTAACCATCTCTTGAATCTGTGAACTGAAATAACCAAAATAGACTTTAATTTCGTAATGATATATATGTATTGGGAATTGACTTTTTATATGATCAGTATTTGTATGAAATAGAAAAGTAACTCATTACCATTTATAAATTTAATCCATCGTACGGAATATTCAAATTATGTTAAATTTATTATATTGACACATCAAAAATGTACAATAATATAGACAATGATACACTACTTTCCATAACTTAACAATTGAAATTATTGAGATTTATATAATTTTAACAGTTGAGATCATGAGTCAGTTGAAGCTAGACCACCATGGAAAACCTGGAAGCACTGGATGGCGGTTTTGTCCAATTGTGGGACTCCTCAGCAGTGCTCATAAACGACCCCGCCTCGTGGGATTCGAACTCAGGAACTATCACTAGAGCGCCGGGCGCCTAACCAACTAGACCAGTGTGCTGGCCATCATCCCACGGTGTTTATGTCTAACTTCAATTAATTCACGAAATTGAACGACACATTCACCATTGTCATCAGTGTGTTACTATCTCACAACTGACCCGGCTGAACTCCACTGGTCACTGCTACGACATACTTCAGTTGAATTTCAGGGAGTGCCGTGTGCTCGCATATGATAACAACACATTAATACAAATTCAGAATTCACTATTCAGTCTTCACTATCTATATTTCAATTCATCATTATGTGAATAATAATGAATGGAAAATCGATGTAAGTGAAACAGATCGTTTCCATAAATGAGGCTGACTGTTAACAAAATCACATTCAGTAGAGATATTTTCGTCAACATTTCAACACACATCACTTCCATAGGTAGAGAAAATATTTGACATTCTACACTGAAGTCGGAATTTTCATATGAATACAAGTTTCTGAATTGAAAAGTGATAATAGAGGACGTTTCACGAAATTGTGACTTGAGAAAACATTAACGCGTGAATGTTAAGTCGTGAGAAGCAACATCCGTAAATCGTGAACTGACATTATAACGGCAAGTGACAAATTATCTGATTTAATTTACGATGTAAATGTGCGGCTCATCTTATCACAGATGGATGACATTCTCGTCATCCGACTAACGATTCAGTGACTTTGCAACGTGGACTCATACTCACCACATGAACACTCACTACAAATATCAAACGTGACTCGAATGATGTATTTTGCTATTGAATATCAGTGACACGTTTATAGACGAAGCACAATACAGAATATCAATATCAATCCGTTTTCTGAAATTTCCAATACACCAACTTCTCCAATTTGACACCTATTACGGAAGCTACAGTTCCTTATTTCGACCACAGTAGGAATCGATTGGAACACATGACCATAATATTGTGTGACAGCTGACAGTTTATTGCCAACAAATCGATGGACACGTGCTAATCTACTCCAATTCATTCGTTCCTGTTCTCACTTCACTGCACTCATGTATATAAATACACACATATTACGTTGAACAGTCGTCATAATTGTACACCAGCAATGAACGCAATCAAGGTGAGAAGTGATTGAATGCATAACACTATTTGCAAAATATAGGTACTCTTCATTTGCATGTGTTTATACACGATACTAAACGAGATCGAGGCTGACACAAAAGGTGAATCACGATGTGTGAATTTACACTAATTCGTTCCTTCTAGATGATGCCACTACACCAAAAAGTGTAGCATCAAAGAAAATTTCCAAACCAATTGGGAAGCCGTCAAAACCAGGTATGATTCACACAACTCAATTTGTCGAAGAATCGTTATTATATTTTGATTGTATCATTTTCTCTCATGTAACCAGTATTTTGGTTTTATGAATCGTGCTCATCAAAATATTTTATCATTGTATTTTGTGAATTCGTAAATTATTATTTTTGTTTTCATTTAGGGAGACGATTAGGACAGGGTAGGAAGACGTCGTCGACAAACGAATCAGTAGTAGCGACCAAAGTTGAGAAGCCGCAAGCTGATCAGGGTGGAATCATACTGGACCTGATTGCTTCACTGCTTTAGAATGTATGATGAAGGAACAATCGATGTGTTATTTCTAGTTTTCTATTAATAAATATATCATTGTTCCATGATGATCAAGTTCTACAAATCTTACACTTGAGTTTTCGTATTTAAATATGATTCTGTTTGATTGTTAGAAGTGATGATAGTCCGATGAACGAAACGAATAGTGCATAATCATCCAAACTTCTGTACTATGCACCAATTGGTCATTCAATCCTGGTATGTTTTGCAGACAACTCCAATTTCAATATTCCAGTTTGTTGCCCGATAGTCTAGTAGCGAACATTTAAACTTAGTTTTGAAATGTGATTTCCAAACATCTTGTATAATTTTTGTCAGTGAGTGCTATCTGTGGACTGACTAATCACTCGTGTCTGTCGAAACAATCGGACAGTCAGACACTTGTGGCCTTAATCCAGAGTAATGTGTCTAAACACACTGTTCTATGTGTTCTCAAATATTCTCAAGCACTCAGTATGTGGTTTTCATTAGCGTTGAACGTGATAAGGACTAGATGTTGAATTTTTCCCACTTGTCCTATAACATTCAAAATGAATTTACATAGTGAACGAGGAGTGTTACTCGTCAGTAGAGTGACACTGATAATAATAATAATAATAATAGGTTATCAGTCTGAATCGATTCTAAGAAATTTTCTTCCTTCTGTTGGTCGAACATGAAAAATTCCTATTCTCTGTATTGTATGCCATTCCCACACTTCTCAGTACATAGAATCGATTGTTGTGTGTTTCCACACTGAGGGAATACTGGTAGTTACTGGATGATCGATGAGGTGGTAACAACTCAAATATATCCGGAAACATTGTTAGTGTTGACATGCAGTGTAATTAATACACCTTATGTTTGCTACACAAAAGCAGGAAATGCTAGAAGTGCTTTGCCCTCTAATACCAATAATTTCCTCTTATTTCTTCAAGGGTTTACATTCGAGTGTAGTGAAGAAACCGATCGGACTACTGGTAGGTAAATTGCATGATAGATGAAGAAATCTGGTTAAATAAGTGCTTTGAAATGCACCGTTCGCATTGATTCTCCAGACTTCAGATAACTAGCTTCTTCTAAAATATCAATCTGTATTTTACTTTCCCGGATGCAAAATACACCTTAGTAAGCAAACTAGAGTGGAACTCTGAATAAATCATCAGATTGCGCCGGAAACGAAAGACTAATGTGAGGTGAAATTTCACTGACATATCTACAGTTAACAAGAGTTTATGGTAATTTACTGTCGAGCAGAATAATGAAGTTTTGCGTAAATGATAATCGAAATTACTGGTTGAGTTTATTTGTTACTTTTTCATTGTCCAAGTGATGTGTTTCATCCAACACTGTCAGTCATTTTTGCGATCATTAGGTAGGTGAGTACTGCATGTCAGAGTGTCATTCTTCACACGTGTACGATTTTGAAGATTTGAAAGTGAGTTTGTCGTCAAAATTTCCACTGTTCAATGAATTAATAGGTCAATTCAAATGAATGGAATATAACATTACTTGTAGTTAGATGAATACGAATAAATCTTGAAAATGTGTAGTTTGACCATTTGCACTGTATCAAGCTGAATTGATGGGTCCCAGAGAAAAAGCGATCCGAAATATATCACTCGTCAAGTACATGATGTCTGAAAATTAAGAAGCAAAATGAAAGTCATTCCAGTTCAACTTGGTTCTAGATCCAGATTCATTGAAAATTGTTTTTCTACTACACATTTTTAAAGTATTGTCAAAATCAAATCCAAATAACCTGAACATTTTCACCAGAGTAGAGGACGGTATTTGTTCACTGGATCAACTCAACACTCTTCATGATCACATCATTCTTACAAACAAAAATCAGATGAACAATACGCTCACAACTTCAAAACTAATTAATAAATTCTCACAAAATGATTCAATTGAAGGATTCTTCATGATAGGTTTCATGGACTGAACAATATGGAACATTTCACAGTCATTGTCCACTTCCATACAAACGAGCATTGACAAAGTGCCTGTTCACTAGCATTGACCATATCCGTACAATTAGTACTGGTGGAGATGAGGTAGTTTCTTTCACAAAATAATGCACTGATAGAGAACAGTTATCCCTCGAAGTTCGTCAGTCGATCGAATGGTTAGATTAGAGTAAGATGAGATCAACTACACTTCTGCCACTCTAAATGCTTATCCAAACCACCCCAACACTCTGAGGTGTGTTCTTGTTCCGAAATAAATATCCACGTCAGTTGTCGACAAATTGTTCTATGTAGTACTATTCATCATCATTGAAATGCGAAATCCATGCTTCACCAGGAAGCTTAGTATCGCGAAATCGATTGTGTGGTTTCTCACTGTGTTCAACGATTTCCATGTCTGTTGCGACATTCATACACAGAGAGGAATAATCGTGACCCACAAGTCAAGGTGGCTGTGCATGTAACAAAACAATTGAGAAACAAATGAAATCGAATAAGTTATTAAGAGCACATGACCAATACCCATATTCCTCAATTGCTAATCATATATATGTGATAAAACATTAGATTGACGCTAAATTATCTGTTGTAGGTTCTTCTATCTAGAGTGATTTAGAATGAAGCGTTAGACGAGGGAACTTTCATGAATCCATTATCTTCTCAAAAACAATTTGTACACATATCATAGCTTATGTGGTAATTATCCGTTGGACAAAATGAGAATACTGGATTTGATAGTGACAGTGGGTTACAAGTGTTAGGCAGTCAATGAAGAACTGGAAGTATTAAGTGCATTTCGTCCTAATATGTGAATCCTCTACAGTTCGCATCCATCACCCATAACCAATGTAAATGTTTATGTGTTTTTTTTTGTGTATTTGTCGAAAATCTGACATTTGTTGAAGAAATTTATTCATCTTTATAAATAAGAAAATTTTGTGTAGATTGTTTGTCTACTTATAAAATTTTAGTTAACCATACTCTATGGGATATTAACATTTATTTCAGTAGAATATTTAATATGTCCAGACATTTTAATTTTTTTTGCCGTACCTGATATTTTTCACAATGTTTGGTCGCTGATATTTGTTATCTTTACGATACTTATGATATATCTTTTCGATTGAATGCTACTTGTTATGTCTGTTTGTCGCTGATGGTTATGAATCAACCACTTTTCACTTATACTTGTAGACCGAGGAACTACCGCAATTCCCACAACGCGAAAGTCAGAACACAAAGACTGGTACAGTTCATGGTTTATCAGTGATTGGTACACCCATTTTGATTAATAATTAGAATAAAATCACATATATGTAAAATACTTATTAGTTATAACAGATCGTATGGTGCATGTCATTCTGAGCTTAATTCACGTCAATTGAATACAAGAATATCATATGTTATACAAAATAAAATATCACACTGGAAAACGGAAACAAATACTGCACTGAGTAATTATTACATTGAATCTAAACAGAATTACTGTTGAACAATAATAAGAATGAATAAATTAATCTAATCCCTTCATATCAAGTTATGTTCTATTGGGTTAATGTTTTGACGCCAAATGTTATTCAAGTTATAAAAGGCGGTTTGAACCACTTTTCATTACAATTTAGCACAATTTAATATGTAAATTAACATGCTTCATTTTGGTTGATGCCGTATCACTTAGTTTGAAGGTGATACTATAAACTTCTAGACAGATGACATCATTATGTATAGACTTCTATCAGTTCAAATGACGAGGTAACATCAAAATTATTATAATTCACATATTCTTTACTTAAAGTTTAACTCATACATCATATTTCGATAATGTGATGAGTAGACGAAGTTTATCAGAATTATATGATATATTTGTGCAATACATTTCGAACAATCTGATCACACACAATATACTTGTTAAGAACATTTATATATGAAAATAAAAAAGTCAACTAGACAAGTTAAAGGTAAGCCGTAACAAAGAAAAATATAATAAGAAAGTACACAAAAACAATATGATAACCACTCTGTATAATAATTATAATTTCAATAGTTGATATCATGAGTCAGTTGAAACTAGATCACCATATAAAACCTGGAAATACTGGACGGCCGTTTCAATCTGTTGTGGAACTTCTTAACAGTGCGCAACCACGATCACGCACCCACCCCCTTTGTGAGAGATTCAAACCCAGAACCTATCAGTCTCGCGCTCGAACGCTTAACTTCTAGACCACTGAACTGTTCGGCATCCAACGGTGTTAATAGTTTACTTCAACTAAATTCATACATTATAGTTGACAATTATTGATTGATATTGAAAAAAAAGTCACCTATAATTATATTTATCCCATAGATTATCCTGATGAACTGACATATAGAAACTCAAGTTTTCAATTATAATTGTCAATTACATAATATCAATATTGATTAAATCATAATAAAGTTAAATGTCAAATGAGAAAGTAAAATGACATATATTCATTAATCAATATTTTTTTTATTAAATCTACATGAGAAATGTATTATGAACAAGTATATATAATTAATTAGTTACTATGCAATGAAAATGGTTAATTATTTTCTATTATATAAAATACATGAACATATTCATTAGATTACCAGTAAATTATATTTTAATGATAATAATGAAACTATATTTTTCTCATTATAATATTAGATCTCATTATGGATCATTTTCCTGTCTTACGTTTATTGTCAAAATGCTAATATTGATGAGTATTATGATGGTAAGTCATTCTGTATAAATCTTATACTTATAATGTTTATATTAGAAATAATTTTTTTTTTAGTGAACCATTTTCTAGTTTGGTTAGAAAAATATCTTGTGAGGGGTTATAAGGTTGACGTCAAATCAGTATTTGTAATGTTATACAAAAGCCTTCAAGGACGTATACTAAGGTTTATTGAAGCCTTGACTATACGGGAATTGAAACCCCCTTTATGTGTTCAACAACATTTATTCTCAAATCCATTTTTGTGATACAATCCTTTCTATCCTTCTATAGACATATATTTTCCATATAA